TGTTTCATTTCAAAAAATTTAGTTTTCTGTAAAAAAAAAAATTAGCAAAAACAAAAAAGCAAAAAAAAAGTTTTCCATTTCAAAAATGTATTTTTTTTTGTAAAGACTGACTTACTATTATTTAGTAAGTCAGTCTTTACAGGGTTAAAAATAAATACTGACATTTGTTATTATTATCATGAACAATAAATCACAGCACAAAGCACTTTGTGGTTGGCATAAAGTACGTTTATCATCACTGCAAATGAACTCATATTTAATGTAATCTGTGTTATTTTTACTTTGTGTATTTCATGGGATTGGAGCATGAGGACGTCACACAACCTATCCGTGTTGGCATCTGTCTGATTTTGTTTGTAGTCTCTTCCAAGTGACAGATAAATTTACACCATAGAGTTTGATTGGATGTGTTTTCTACTCCCTTTAGTTATTTATTCGCTAAACAATTGCATGGTTAGTTGAATTTTCTCACTTGTATTTAGCTTTGTCTTTTTCCCCGTTGTCTGTGACCCATAAGAACGGACCTGCGACCCATTTTTGTGTCATGATCCACCAATTCAGAATGACTTCTGTAGATATCTGAGTGATAAGTAGGTCTGGACTGAGCTGTTCAAAAGTTGAACTTTTGAATGATTTGCTCTCCCATGTTTGCGCATGAGAACGAACCAAATTCCATGTCATCTGTTACTGCGAGAAACAGTCTCGTGTCTTTCATGTTTTTCTCCCTGTTGTTTTTTTTTTTTTTTCCCCAGTTTCTCTCCTCTTTCAGCCGTCTGTCTCAGAATGACGTGGGGGAGTGGGGAGTAACTCCTGCCCTGTCAGCTATGCTGTGATTGTCTACTGATTTCAAAGAGTGCAAGGGGTCAGAGGTTAAGTTGTCTCCAGTATATGTTATTGTGTCTGACACTAGGCTCCATGCTGGAAAAGCGAGCAAAAGAGAGGGACATTTCCATAGACATCCAGATTTTGGGGATGTGAAAAGCAAATGTAAAGACATAAAGGTGTGCTACATTAAATGTAATGTCCAAAAGATGGTTTAAACCAGCAAACCCCAGGGGATCTTTAAGCAGGCTCCAGGGGGTACTTGGAAAGATTTAACTGCTTTAACAAAGCCTATATAACAAAAATTATGACATTAAAATAAAAACACATGGACAAAATAGAAATTAAAAATAAAGTGGATAAAATTAATCAATAATAATCGTGCTTTTTTAAATTGCTGTGTAAAACATTCAGTTACCTTTTAAGGAAAGAAATCAAAATATGTCTACATTTTGACAATTTGTATGAATGATTTCTAAGGAACACATTTATGATCGTTTTCACACTTAAGCCTGGTACACGAGGCAAAAAGGGTTAAGAAACACATTTGGGGCATTTTAAAATGTACTATATTTCACTATACTAAACATGAACCTATACTTGTCAAAAATATACACTCAATTGCACACATTAATACACAAGAAAAAGACCAGCTGAAAACACCTGATGCATTTATGAGAGAAAAAGAAAAAATGACTTTGTTCTTGTTCTCTGTTGTGTTTGGATGGTTTACAGCGCTCTGCTTTAGTCATTAACCCCATTAAGAGCTCCCTGGAGAGAAGGACTTTGTCATGAAAGAGAGTTTTTATGAAACTGACTATATTTCTAAATGAATAAAAGTGCTCTGTGAAGCTAAAGGCTGAATAAATCTGATCGTTATTGTGAACCGTCATGCTAATTCTCCTAAAACAGCATTTCATACATGGTTTATTATTTTATACAGGTGCAGAATGATTTTGAGAATCCTCTTTCAGCCGTCTGTCTCAGAATGACGTGGGGGAGTGGGGAGTAACTCCTGCCCTGTCAGCTATGCTGTGATTGTCTACTGATTTCAAAGAGTGCAAGGGGTCAGAGGTTAAGTTGTCTCCAGTATATGTTATTGTGTCTGACACTAGGCTCCATGCTGGAAAAGCGAGCAAAAGAGAGGGACATTTCCATAGACATCCAGATTTTGGGGATGTGAAAAGCAAATGTAAAGACATAAAGGTGTGCTACATTAAATGTAATGTCCAAAAGATGGTTTAAACCAGCAAACCCCAGGGGATCTTTAAGCAGGCTCCAGGGGGTACTTGGAAAGATTTAACTGCTTTAACAAAGCCTATATAACAAAAATTATGACATTAAAATAAAAACACATGGACAAAATAGAAATTAAAAATAAAGTGGATAAAATTAATCAATAATAATCGTGCTTTTTTAAATTGCTGTGTAAAACATTCAGTTACCTTTTAAGGAAAGAAATCAAAATATGTCTACATTTTGACAATTTGTATGAATGATTTCTAAGGAACACATTTATGATCGTTTTCACACTTAAGCCTGGTACACGAGGCAAAAAGGGTTAAGAAACACATTTGGGGCATTTTAAAATGTACTATATTTCACTATACTAAACATGAACCTATACTTGTCAAAAATATACACTCAATTGCACACATTAATACACAAGAAAAAGACCAGCTGAAAACACCTGATGCATTTATGAGAGAAAAAGAAAAAATGACTTTGTTCTTGTTCTCTGTTGTGTTTGGATGGTTTACAGCGCTCTGCTTTAGTCATTAACCCCATTAAGAGCTCCCTGGAGAGAAGGACTTTGTCATGAAAGAGAGTTTTTATGAAACTGACTATATTTCTAAATGAATAAAAGTGCTCTGTGAAGCTAAAGGCTGAATAAATCTGATCGTTATTGTGAACCGTCATGCTAATTCTCCTAAAACAGCATTTCATACATGGTTTATTATTTTATACAGGTGCAGAATGATTTTGAAAATGTTAAACATGATCCAGAAAAATAATGCAATTTGTTGTTTATTCCCACAAGCAAATGTAGAAGGATTATTAAAAAAGGAAAGAGGAAAGAGAAAGCAACAAAGACGGGAAATATAAAGACTGATGAAAGAATCCATTGTTTTTTTTTTAAAGGTAAAAAAAAATTAACATCACTAAACAATAACCTTGAAAGCAATTTATTTATTTTTTCTTATAAATAGTAAATAGTGCTGCATTTTACACATTATCCATCAACAATTAGATGCAGTCAAGAACCAAAAAAACATGAAGGTATAAAAACAACAAGCTAAAAAATAGGACATGAACATTGTGTTACAGAGACAGAACAAAGAACTTCAGCCGTAAAAATAAAGGTGACATCCATCCACATTATGAAATGCTTCATCATCTGGCATCTTTTCTTTGCATGAAAAACAATTTAAGTTTAAGGACAGATGATTTCGTGAGCAAGTGAGAACAGATGAGTGTTTTTTGAGGTATTGAGTGTGTATTGCACTTTCCTTGGGTTCGTTTGTGGCCTGTGTCTCTCTGAATGTTCAGAATAGCATACTACCATACTACTAATGTTTCAGTATGCACTGTGTATATTGTCTGCAATTTGTCTGCATGCAAAACTAAATAGTCGACCTTCTACACAATATTATATCCCACAATGCAATGCATTCGACTTGACTTTTCCTATTCCACTGTAACCAATAAACTAAGTATTTTATTTTTGGTTTCTTGACACGTCATCTGCCAAATCAAAGATGGTTTTACACTAAATTAGATTAAAAAATGCAACAGCATTTACAAGGTAGCATATTACAATTTGAAATTCATTGCATTATTTTAGCATATGTGACCCTGGACCACAAAACCAGTCTTAAGTCGCTTGGGTATATTTTTAGCAATAACCAAAGAAACATTGTATGGGTCAAAATGATCGATTTTTCTTTTATGCCAAAAATCATTAGGATATTAAGTAAAGATCATGTTCCATGAAGATATTTTGTAAATTTCCTACCGTAAATATATCAAAACTTAATTTTTAATTAGTAATATGCATTGCTAAGAACTTCATTTGGACAACTTTAAAGGTGATTTTCTCAGTATTTAGATTTTTTTTTTTTGCACCGTCAGATTCCAGATTTTCAAATAGTTATATCTCAGCCAAATATTGTCCTATCCTAACAAACCATACATCAATGGAAAGCTTATTTATTGATGATGTATAAATCTCAGTTTCGAGAAATTGACCCGTATGACTGGTTTTGGTGGTCCACGGTCACATATACTGTAGTATACAGTATGCATTAAGCAGTACAATAGTATTCCATTCTGAACATCACTTCTGTCTCATAATAAGGTATTTTGTGTGTGCTCAGATGACTGGTAATAAAGGGGTCTGTGTTACATAGTCTATCCGCACTACCGAGGGTCACACTCCATCGTTTAAGCCGGTGAAATGCCATCGGACACTTGAGTGCATTCCGTTTAGGTCAGCCTCTTTCTCTGTATGAAGAGGACCTGAGAGCGTTGTGCCGAATGTGAGCATGTTCTTGTCTATTTATACATTTATTTATGAATGAGAAATAAGGAAAGTTGGCACATCTGTCTTTTCCGAGCCCTTATTTCTTAAATATATCAACAAAATGTGTCTCAACCAAAGAGTCACCGTCAAGTTGTGTGTCACAAACCAGCCACTAAAGTGCGTCCGTCAGTGGACAGCTGATATCAGAGTATGACGCCACACTCTTCCCTGCCATTCAATGCTGTTTATAAGCACAGTCTTTGAGTTGTTTATTTGTCCTTTCCCTTTGTCCTCCTCGTGTCCCATGGCTTGTCACTCTTCAGGAAAGAGGTGGTAAGTGTCATCAGAACGTGCCTGCTCCAGAATGGGATGGATATATGGAGAGGCTGTTTCGTCCAGGTCTAAATTGTCTAAAACCCGTCTTCAGTCCTGGTCCTAAACCCAACCCAACCCCACCCACAATATCCCCCTCGTAAAAACAACTCAGTTGCACTTTGGACCCACAGGCGTTAGAGAGGACCGCCGTCACCGCTGGCCTCTCCTCTCAGTGCTCCTCGAGCGGGAGTTTGAGGAAGGATGGTCATTTTGGTCAAACATTCAAGAGGTGAAGGAGAGCTCAAGTGCAAGAGTTTACGGTCATCCATAGATCTCTTCATCTCCTTCCTGTCTGTCTTCATTCAGTCAATGCTGGGTTTCAGATGATGAAAGGCACCTGAAAGACATTCATTTAAGGTCAGGGCTATTATCTTTAGCTAAAAATAAAACAACTTGTGAAACAACATCTGCATTACTAGAAATTAAATAAATATTAACGGAAATAAAATAAAACTTATTTTATTTCAGTTAGGTGCCAAGACAACTTTTCTCATTTTCGTTTAGTTTAAGTACTAAAATAACTACAACTGAATAAACTAAAATTAATAAAAAAAATAAAAAAAAATAAAATTTAATTTAATTAAATTTAACACACAAAAAAAACTCATTACATTTATTACATTATATTAAGGTCTTGGAAGTCTACTGATGCCTCCTGGTGGGCTCCTAGTGGCAACCACTGACATAAGTATATGACTATATCGACATAGCCTTTGCCAAGAGAAAGAAAAAGAAATCAAAATATGCAAAAGCGAAAGATCCAACAAAACACAGTACATAATTGAGCGAGCCAGTGCGTGCCAATTCCACTAAAAAGACAGACAGAGGGAGAAATTAAGAGAGATTGAGAGAGGGGGAATGAAAAGAGAGCTGTCCTATATTCAGTTCTGTATGGATCAGAGTCAATGATCAACAGCAACTACAGATCTGACCCGTCTGAAACACATGTTTCTGATATCTGCCCGCCATGGGCCATTCTACTCCTATACGAGACCCCCACTAACTCCTCCACGGACCCCCAGCTCTGTGCTTAAAGGGTGCGGACCCCAGCAAATTAATGATATCAAGATGCAGTCCTGGACTGGGCACTCGACATGCAGGCCTGGTGTGCAAGTCCTCTGCTCCTCTCATTTCACTGCGTGTTTGAGTGGATCATGAACGATATCTTTGTTACCCAGAGCTCATTACATGGCTGGCTGACGGATGTCTGGAGCTGATGAGATATAGCTCATCTCACAGGGTCGTGAAAGGGCATGGGTTAAGCATCATAAACCACGGCAGTGTTTACCTGTGTGGCGGCCCAGCGGATTACAATGAACTAATGTAAACTCATGATTACGTCTCAGATTAAAAGACGAATACTTCACTGAAAATAATCTCAGTTGACGTTCAGATGATCGTGTTTCTCTACAGAATCAATGCAATTTTTTCAAAAGTTTCCTGGCTGAACTGTAGCGGTTAGCACGGTTATGTCGAGCTGTGGTGATGCAGTTCATCAAAATCATATGGCATGCATCAATAAAAGTGTCAAAAAGTGTAAAAGATAAAAATATAATTAAACGAAAAAGGGATGGATGTGACTAGTAGTAAAAGTAAGATTAAACAACAGCTAATGCACTTTTGAACTGTTGTTTAAAAAGTCTTGTGTGGTTGCGCAAACAAAACATTCATTAAAATGAATTGCTCTTTAGTAAAGAGATTAATTAAAGTCATCATGAAATGGAAATTCACTTATCTATTTTCTAAATGCATTTTATTGATCTAATTGTGAATGATTCATCCATACATATATTTTTATTTATTTATTTTTTGACCTTGTAATTTTTAATCACAATGTCATAACTCGACCGTACAGTAAAATGACAGACTTCTCTCTGGTGACATATGCAGGACTTCTCAAATTTTGTATGCATAAATCAAAACGCCCCTTTCTTACAATTGACTGCATTCAGATTTGCCTTCATCCAATCAAAAACCGATGAACTGAACTACATTTTTTCTTTTCGATTAATCCGCAAATTAAAATATAAAACTACTTATTTTATTTCAGCTAGTTGCAAAGGCAACATTTCTTATTTACATTTTTTTTACTTGATGTACTAAAATAAATACAACTGAATTAATAAAGATTAATTAATAAAGAATTAAAAAATGATTAAAGATATAGACATATAAAAAAAATCATGAAAACGACTGAAATGACTGAAACTTTAAATAAAATTTAAGTGAAAACAGAAAATATAAAAACAATTCAAAGTGATAATAGTATCTATAAAAGAACACAGCTACACATCAAATCCAAAAACGGAACTTTTTATGTTTCTACACCAAACTGAAATGTTTTTAGAACATAAACGTGTGGCTCTCTCTCTCACTACAGTACAAACAGTGCTGGTATTCACCTTACTCTGCCCATACTGGCTGTACTGGTAAGACGCCACGTGGTCCACGCTGTACCCGGGTGAAGTGTAGCTGGAGGGGCAGTAGGACTGGGAGCTGGGCAGGCCTGGCAGAGCCTCCAGTCTCTGAGAGGAGTGGCAGCTGGGAGCCATGCCTGTACTGGGCTCCAAACCGCCCGTCAACGGAGAGAGGGCAAAATCACTCTGCGGCTGGTGTGGCACTCCACCAGGATTCAACAGCCCCATCACCTGAGGAAAAAAAAAAGAACACAACACTTTAGAATGAGCTACTTTTTTAACAAGTAAATTGCTGAAAAGACTAGCCCAGACCAATGGATTTCCCTGCTGTTCAAGCTGGTTTATGCTGGTCAGCTAATACAGGTGCATGACCAAATTTTGATAACAGAGTGAGATCAGAAAACCACATTTAATTATCTACATGCTTACAAATCAGTTTTATGTGACAAACCAGGGTTATTATCCTTAACTAAAACTAAAATAAAAAACATTTTCAATAATATGTTTAAAGACACTGAAATAACACATAAAAATTTATTTTATTTCTCATTTGTATTTCAATCATTCTTATTTTTGTTTAGTTAGAGTTGAAGTACAAAAATAACTAAACAAGCCGTTTTATTAAATGTTTAGTCATGCAGGTATATGCATAATTTTAAGGCATATATACTTTTCACATCTTCTCACAGCACGGTCCATTAGTATTCAGAACTTCTCAAATTTACTTAAGAAAGAGTAAAATCATTTGTAAAAGTATTTTTAATACACATGGATTAACTTAAGATCTCAGATCTATCAGAATTCTTCATCTTCGCCAAATAAAACAATGAAAATGTGCTTTTGTTTTAAACTCTGTGATGTGAAATGAATTCAACATACCAAACTGAACATAATGACAACGCTAAAGTTTTTAATTCAGCCCTCCCTGTTATCAATCACCAGTGTGTAACACGCATCTGAAATGATTTGTTGACAGCGAGTGGAGATCTCTCCAGCTCTCACACAGCGTCTCTGGCCGCCCGTGTCTAATTCACACAAGTGACAGACAGATGGAAGCGAGACGCGAGTGTGCTATCAGTGTCTGTGAGCTCTCGGATGGCGCTTGATGGGCCAAATACAGATCAGTTCCCTCCCTCTGCTAATCATTAATCAAAACCAGCCCGGCCCAGAAAAAATCTCCTGCACACCGACCCACTGAACAACCGGCCGGCCCACTTACTCCATCTATGAGAGTCAAATTATTCCCCATCCTGCTGGACACATGGTTCCTTTTAAACCGTTACCCGGTGCAACCAAAGAGGGGGTGGAGTCAGTCGAAAGGCGCTGTATTTCTTTGCCCAGTTAACATTTTCCTGAAAACAATTCTGAGTGTAGAGTTGTGTGTTTGAGAAGAGAGAGTAGCCAGATGAAAAAAACCAGAGTAAGAAAACACAGAAAGAAAAAAGCTGGTTTTATGGGGTTTTCTATCAAGATCTGATGTTAAAAAACAATAGAATAAACAAAACATGGAATAAGTGCGACATATGCTCTGAGAAGATAAATATCAGTTGCAGAGAAAGTACTGCACATTAAATATGTAGGTGGGTTTGCTTAGATTTTCTTTAGGGGCAAATTTGTCCTCAGACACGAGCTAAATCTGACAAAAACCTCCCTGTGGGGACATCTGGAGAGGTCCTCAATTGGACAAACAATTCAATAATAATATTTTATTTTTTTGAAAAATAAAAAATCTCTGTTACAGTGATGCACTTACAATGGAAATGAAGGATGCCAGTCTTAAATCTGAAATTACTGCTTCAATAGTATAGCCACAAAACATAACCAATGTGTATTAACATGATTTTAGCATGGAAAAAATGCTTAATAGCCGTTTCTGCCCAAAGTTATATTCAGTTGTATCAACACCTAAAACTCTAAAATGACTATTAAAATGAATTAAAATGAAATAACACACAAAAACTAAATAGAAAAGGTAATGTAAGTGTTTTTATAAAATTATACACAATTTATATAATTTTGTATGTATAATGTGTTTAAAATTATACACCGTAAAAAAAAAATCCGTAAAATTTACGGTAAAAAACCGGCAGCTGTGGTTGCCGGAATTTTACCGTAAAAAATACGGTAGCAACGTTTTAGGTCGTTAAATTCACGGTCACACATTATACATCATTTTAAGAATTTAAACATTTTTGCTTTTAAATCCACAAATCGGCCCCATTCACTTCAATTGTAAGCATCTTTATTTTATAAGGTTTATGCTTTTTTAAATCATCAAATGAACTTTGCATATTTAGAAAAATACAGAGGTTTACTTATGAAATGTTAACATTCTGTCATTATTTACTCATCCTCATTTCTATTACAATGCCATGCCTAAAACTGTAAAATGACTATAAAATTGAATGAAAATGAAATAATGCACAAGTTCTAATAGAAAAGTTAATGTGAATGCTTTTATAATTTCAACATTTTCTGCTTTCTCCAAAAATTGTCCACATTCACTTCTATCCATAAACTGGATTTTTTTTTGGGGGGGTGGGATTAGTGAAAATTAGTTTTTGTGCTATAAAATGAACTTAATTTGTATTGAACCTGGAATATTCCTTTAATATAAAACGATAGGCGTCTATGGTGTTTCCTCATTTAGCAAGGAAACCGTGTGTGTTTGTATGGTTAACGCTTTTACAAGCAGTGTGAAGGGTCATGAAATTCCTTTTGGGGTTCATCTTCAACAGCTGTTCAGAAGAGAAATGGATTGAAAGCTCTAAGCACTCGCAGATTTTCAGGTGCTTTCCCCACCTTGCAGATAACTCGAGGATCACACGAGCTGACAGCGTATATCATGTACAGCAGCGCATGTGTGAGTCACACGCTGATGTGTGATGCTTAACAAATGAAAAGCACATGGAGGTTAAACTCTCTCGTTCACCTCCCCATGGGGGGCCCGGGCCCGGCTACATGTGAGGTGAAAGCTTAAATGTTCCTTCCATGTCGAGACCACAGACAGCAAAAAGCTTCCTCACAAAACATTTTCCCAGCCAAGACGATGCATGTTTACGCAGGTCTCCGGAGGAAGCAGCCCACATTCACCAGAGGTCAAAGAGCAAAAATGCATGTTCTCAAATCCATATAAAATGTAATTTTGATGGAATATTTCATATTAAATACATTAAGCAATGTGATTACAATTTATTTTTTTGCTGTTGATGTTTCAAAAACTGATGGATGAGTTGAAATTATTTTTTAAATTTGGACTATTTATTTAATTTAAACTCTGCACAAAAAATATTATACAAACAAATGAAGTGCATTTTAGCACTTTTTGTTGAAAGGAGAACTGGCTACAGCTGCAACAAAACTTTTTTATGACTTTCTGAAGTTTTTTAACTAAAAAGTACATTTGAGACAATGAACAGGAAATTATGGGGGGAAAAGAAAACCTTGAACCAATATATAGGTCAATCATTGTTCTTGTACAAGTAAAAAACACTAAAAAAAGGAAAATACAATTTTTTTTTTAACATGTACCATTGCAGTAATTTAGTACCAAAATTAATAAATACTGTAACAAAAGTATTGCTCATTGTTAGCTAATGCATTATTAACTAATGTTAACTAATGGGTCCTTATTGTAAAGTGTTACCAAAATGTATTTTTTTCTCTAAATATGCAAAAGTTAACTTCATGATTTTAACCCTCTGGTGTTGTTCGGTCATTTTAGACCAGAAAAAAATTTTTTTTTTTTTAAATGTTTAAAATCGCTACTTCATCTGAATTGTATGAAACTCAATGACTTTTATGGCAGTCACTATGTGACCACAAGAGAAGAAAAAAAAATCGTGAACTTGATTTGAAACAGCTAAATGGTCATAAAAAATAGTCACACTTGTGTTGTTCGCAGTGAAAAATGACTGCCATTGGAAATGAATGGGAAATAAGCAAAAATTTGGGAATTTGTTGTGTGTACAATCTACAAATCATTCATGATGCAGAAAAAAAGTGGGTGAAGGGGTGACACACTAAAATATCAAGTTTTTTGGCAAACTGATGACACTGAATTTTGATGCACTGCCATCATAATATTGTACAAGTTTTTTTGTAGCTGAGAGTTGATAAACTGTTTAGCTTTGGGTAAAATGCAGCGCTAAGAGGCGGGACAAATACTACACCGACCAATCATCCTACTTGTACAACACCTGAACAACAATAGAGAAGTTAACATTGCTGGTTACTGCATTTTTATATTTAGTAATATTCTTCAAAATGTACTTCCGTGGATATTTCACATCATAGCAAACAAAATCGACAGCTGGAAAAGCGCTGCGCCACCAGCTGGTCGTTTTAAGAAGAGCGCCTGACATTTTTCAGCTGGCTAAAAACACTTTGAATATTTATTGTTAGGCATATGGCCTATTAGTCTTTTTTGCATTTATGCAATATACTGGAGCCAAACCTGAGAAAGTAGACCAGAATATTCCACTGCGTTCCTGGACACGCAATTTGCGTAGCTGTAATTATAGGCAGGGATTATGGTAATTGTGAATGAGCGCGCACGAGCGCCCTATTTACGAATGATTGGAATTCATTAACATACACATGTTTAACTATCAAATCGGACGTTTACGAAGCGTTTGTGAATCCGGAGGAGAGTTTTCGGGAAGGTCCGTTTTACACGCAAATTACTCAGAATTTACTCCTATATTTACGAATGTTTCATGAATGAGGCCCATTGTCTCTATTTTAACATGAAATACTGCCATAATGAAATTAAAAGTAATGAAAGGAAAAGTAATGTAAAAATATTATTATTTCTTTTTATTATTATTTTCTATGGGAAAAAAATTGATAATTGTTGCATAAATATTAATTAGTATAATGAAATACAAAATAAATAAATAAAAAATATTGAACAAAAATACTATTACATTGATTTTACTGAAAAAAAAGTTGCATTTCAGTTGTTCGGTCACTTCTGACCAAGCAACACAAGTGTGACCCCCAAATGAACAATACCAGAGGGTTAAAAAGAATAAGCCTTGAAATAAAGAATTCTCTCCATGGATTTGGTATTTATCAACGTTTTATGGCATTTCCATTTAATACCATCACTGTACTATCATATTTTTGTAATTAATAGATAAAAATAAAATATGTAATTATAAATAATCACAGTTTCATTCGCTAATAAATTACAAACCAATCTGCAGGGACAAGCCTCCTCAGCACACCCTGAATCCCAAGCTTATTTCAGCATACATTAAACCACAGATAAATACATAATTCAAACAATTAGCCAACAAAGTGACTCATTTGCATAAATTACACAGTGCATTATGGAGGGTAAATTCTCCCATTCCAATCAATTAAGAGTCCGGAGCATCCCATAATTAGAATCCCAGATGCTAAGAGTTCCAGCATCGTCATGACGACGAGAATCCCTGCCCTTCAATAACAACTCAACAGCACTAGCTGACCCTGTGCCAGGTTACAAACACACACACTAATGGCAATAACAGACCGAGTGTGTGTGTGTGTGTGTGTGTGTGTGATGGGGGCACTGCAATTAGACACACTTCAATTAATACGTCATGTTAAATAACTTTGTGCAGTTCAATTACTGTACGCAAGGCGATGGTCCAAAGGATTCTTTATTTCATATGGTTTATGGTTTTTGCATATTTAGAAAATAAAGACCTTTTGGTAACACTCTAACATTAACAATGTGCAATAGATGTGTTACAGTATTTATTATTTTTTGTTAATGTTAGTTAATATATAAATACAACTGTTCATTGTTAGTTCATGTTTGCTTAGGTCCACTAAATAATCATAATTTTTATTTAACTTTTATTTTGATAATGTAATAGTAAATGTTGAAATTAACAATAACTAAGATTAATAAATGCTTTAGAAGTATTTTCATTGTTAGTTCATGTTAACTAATGTTATAGCGTTCCAAACCTGTATGCTATTTCTTTTTTCACTAAACAAAAAAGGTATTTTTAAAGAATTGTCACAATAACATTTCATAGTGAACAAGGGCTTTCAAGCCTAAAAAACGTAGCATAAAAGTGGTCTTCTGGAGTCATGCATATATAGATTTACATGAGGAACATACCCAGATTTAAGTTGTATGTACACTATTATGATACCTTTGAGGTGTTTTTCAGAGACTGACAACCATGGAAACAATGAACTACTGTTTTATCACAATGTTGTACAAGTTTGAAACAACATGAGGATAATGAGTAAATAATGACAGAATTTTCTTTTTTTTTGGGTGCACTGTCCCTTTAACAAAAACGTTATTGTACCATAACATATCTGATCAATTGGGGATGTGTTTAGACTGCAGTGTTTTCCATCTTACTGGTAATCTAATCTTACTGGCTTTCATTGCTTTTTTGTGTGTTTTGAGAAAGAACCTCATTCTCAAAACCATCTTCTGTCTTTGTTACAGTATTTATTATTTTTTGTTAATGATAGTTAATATACAAATACAACTGTTCATTGTTAGTTCATGTTTGCATAGGTCCATTAAATAATCATAATTTTTATTTAACTTTTATTTTGATAATGTAATAGTAAATGTTGAAATTAACAATAACTAAGATTAATAAATGCTTTAGAAGTATTTTCATTGTTAGTTCATGTTAACTAATGTTATAGCGTTCCAAACCTGTATGCTATTTCTTTTTTCACTAAACAAAAAAGGTATTTTTAAAGAATTGTCACAATAACATTTCATAGTGAACAAGGGCTTTCAAGCCTAAAAAACGTAGCATAAAAGTGGTCTTCTGGAGTCATGCATATATAGATTTACATGAGGAACATACCCAGATTTAAGTTGTATGTACACTATTATGATACCTTTGAGGTGTTTTTCGGAGACTGACAACCATGGAAACAATGAACTACTGTTTTATCACAATGTTGTACAAGTTTGAAACAACATGAGGATAATGAGTAAATAATGACAGAATTTTCTTTTTTTTTGGGTGCACTGTCCCTTTAACAAAAACGTTATTGTACCATAACATATCTGATCAATTGGGGATGTGTTTAGACTGCAGTGTTTTCCATCTTACTGGTAATCTAATCTTACTGGCTTTCATTGCTTTTTTGTGTGTTTTGAGAAAGAACCTCATTCTCAAAACCATCTTCTGTCTTATAGCCCCAGGGGAGTTTTCTCTCTCAGTCATTCTATTTTTTCCTCTGCTTCCATTTCATTCTCTCTCTGTCCATCTCTTTCATTCCATTTATCTGTATCACGCAGCACTCCGAGGGGTCTGAGTTTGAGGACAGCACCCAGAATGCCGCTCATGTCTAACTACCGGATGCTTTGAGGCAGTTAGGAGCTCATTTTCTGGTTGTTAGCACGTTGTGCGCAGCAGGCGAGCCGACAGATAACAGCTGATGAGTGTGTAATCACAAATAATTGTCTTTCACTTCTCGTTTCCATCATGTGTCCTAGCCCTCCTCACACCTTCATTCTCACATTCACTCACATTGCCAATCTGTTTGTCGGTGTAAAAACAGAGACATTCTCCAAGCGTGTATACATTACTGTTCAAAAGTTTGGGGTCAGTAAGATTTTGTTTTTTTAATAAATAAATCAGTACTTTTATTCAGCAAGAATGCATTAAATTGATCAAAAGTGCAAGTAAAGGCATTAATAACGTACTCAAATAAATGCTACTTTCTATTCATCAAAAAATATTGAAATAAAAAAATAATTTAGCAACACAAATGTTTTCAACATATTAATACAAATTAGAATAATAAAAAATTAGAATTTTTTGTGACGTGACACTGAAGACTAGAGTAATGCCTACTAAAAAATTCAGGTTTGCATCACAGGAAGAAAATTACATTTCAAAATATATTAACATAGAAAACAGTTATTTTAAATTCTAATAATATTTCACAATTTTTCACAGTATTTTTGATCAAATAATTGCAGCCTTGGTGAGCATTAAAAACTTTAAAAAATTGCCAACCCCAAACCTTACCTGCACTATCCTGCAAGATGATCAATGATATCTTTAATTAGAAACAAAACCTAATTTATAATCACATAAGAATTATAATTGGTTAGCAAAAACCACACAGTTTAAAGGAGACATATTATTCTTTTCAGAACCTCATGTATAAAGATTTGCAAGATTTCTATGCACCACAAACTGTTATAATTTGGTTTTACACAACCATTTTCTACCCTTTCTAAGACTGGAATCAAAAAAGCTTCTCTTGTGACTATAACTTCAAGATTTCCTTGTATGACCCTGTATGATTGCCTAACCTCTTTGCATGTAACAATGTCCCAACGATAACACAGATCGTTAGGTGGAAACATCTGGCAACCCGTCAATTTATACAGCCGTATACTGTATGCTCAAACTGTATGTGATGTTAGATGATACTGACCTGTGATGGGAGGCCGTTGCTGATGGTGGCATTCACTGGGTTTGCGTGTCCCGGAGCAGCCACATAGCCATCCGAGTAACCAGAGAAGCCATGACGTCCAGAGGAGAGGCAGTAGGCCGAACTCCCGTCCTGGGCCCCCGGTCCGCTGCCAAGCCCAGTCTGATGCACTGAGGTGGGGGGGAGAGGCTGGGGCCTGTGCACAGTGCTGGGCTGCTCCGATACTGCTGAGAGAAAGAGAAAGAGAAAGAGAAAGAAAAAGAGTGTCACTTCAGTGTCACATGATCCTTCAGAAATCATTCTTAATATTTTGGTGGAAACCATGATATGTTTTTTTACAAGATTCTTTGATGAATATAAAGTTCAAAAGAACAGCATTTTTTTATTATTTAAAAAAAAATGTTTACATTTTTTAACAATCATTTTTGAATTATTCGAACCCCAAACTTTTGCACAGTAATGTATTGACTGACAGTTCTCACCTTGTGAGATAGATGAGGGAGGGTAAGGGCTGTCCGCCAGCTGATAGGGCTGAAGACTCGACATCGCAGAGGGTGGGAAACCACCAGGTATCAGGTGATTAAACGCCATGAGCTGATTGGCTCCTGCCTGCTTCCTCCATCGAGCTCTTCTATTACTGAACCAAACCTGCAGGACAAACAATATACTTAAATTTAACACTCATACACTCGGAAGAACTGTTTACTCACATGAACACATCTACAGACTGTTTTTATACACAAGGTGGTGCCCAATTTAAAACATGACACATTTCAGCATGGACTTCATATAACACCCCACTTTATTCGGGAATCAGATTTGGGACTTTTATTATTCCTATAAGAATGTGTTTGTGTGTGTGATGTATCTGAGTGTACACAGGCGCTCTTTGTGTGTTCAGTAGCCGAAAGCTTGTTTGCTCTGATTGTGATCGAAACATCTGTGCTCATTAAAAAGCAATGACATCATGTCATGGGTTCTAGTTTAATTGGGTTAGAAGGACCCAATAATAGTTTATTAAAAGATTCTGTTTTGGGGTTTTTCTCTGACAGAATACTAGAGTGAAAACAAGAGGTCAGACGTGGCACAAAGAAACCTGTGTTTATGCGGGTGTGTCATGTGACTTCGGGGCAAGGGGTGCAGAGCTAAATGCTGGTAAATTTAGTAAACCACATTTACGTTTTTTGTTTTGTTTTTGTTTTTAGACTTACGAGAAAGTGTGTGTAGAGTGATCATTTCCACAAAGATACAGTGCCAGTAAGAGAAGTGGATATGGTCACATGATTAACACAGATTTTACAGGAAGTTAAAGAGTTGGATATCAAAGGTTTGTGTGTTAATGTACCTGTACTCGTGCCTCGGTGAGTTTAGCTCTCTGAGCGAGCTCTTCTCTGGTGTAAATATCAGGGTAATGGGTGCGTTCGAAAGCTCTCTCCAGCTCCTCCAGCTGCTCGGCCGTGAACGTGGTCCGACTGCGCCGCTGTTTCCTCTTTAATGGCAAACCCGGTTCTGAGTCCACATCTGAGCCCTCGTCTGAGTGGCTTGCTATAAAGTAAACATTAAAATGAGATTATTATTAAATAAAGAATAAATCCAGAACTCTGTTTTCAGTATTGAGAGATTTTCATTTGTTTCAGCAAAGCACAAACTTTAAATGAATAGTTCATGACTTGATCAAAGCTATTGTATGGCTTTAGAAGAGTTGGAATAGTGCACAAGTCATACAGACGTTTTATGATACTTCTATGGTGCTTGTTTTTGACAGCCTCAGTCCTCAATGGCATTCATTGTATAAAAAAAAAAATCTTCAAAAATTCACTATTTGTATTCCATGTACTGAAGAAAGTGGCCAATTTAAAAATAAAATAAAAATACAAAAGCAAATTAAATTCATAAAACAAATTAAATAAATAAAACTAAAGCAAATTAATTCATAAAACAACTTACATTTTTTAAATAAATAAATAATACTAAAGCAAATTAAATAAATTCATAAAACTAGGTGAAGTGATGTGACATGTAGCCAAGTATGGTGTCCCATACTCGGAATTTGTGCTCTGCATTTAACCCATCAAAGTGCACACACAAGTACGACTCTCTAACCCAGGCTTTCTCAACCCTGGTCCTCGAGGGCCACTGTCCTGCAAATGTTAGCTCCAACCCTAATCAAACACACCTGAACCAGCTAATTAAGCTGTTCAGGATTATTATGCTTTGTCCAAATACCCAACACACCTGAACCAGCTAATTATGCTGTTCAAGATTATTATGCTTTGTCCAAATACCCACACTTGCGGTCTTGGCCACTTGAAAGCGCATGCGCGCGACAGAAAGTAAGTGCTCAAGACTGTCCCAGGTCTTAAAAACGGCAAAGTGTAGTGCCCTTAACGCACACTAAATCCACACTATCTTGAATACCGTTTCGGAGCGCTATTCGAGGCTTAGTGTATCCCATCATGCATCATGTGGTGGAAATAAATCGTGAGACTTTTTTGCCGAGATCTCGCGAGAGGTCCGCAAGGGGCTTGTAAGCTACAGGCAGGTGAGTTTGATCAAGGTTGGAGCAAAACTCTGCAGGACAGTGGCCCTCCAGGACCAGGGTTGAGAACCCCTGCTCTAACCATTAGGCCACGACTATAAAATGGAACAACAACAAAATTCACATTACAGTTATAACAAAAGTGAAACAGCATTCATGACTTGTCCCAATAATTCTATTAACCATCTGCAAAAGAATTGTTTCCATTACCTCAAAGTTAAAGGCCATTATATCTAACACTTGCTCTTATCCAGCACTCTGTGTTTAGACACAAACACACACATCAGCACTCGCTCATATGCAGGTATTATTTGGGGTGAAGGTGGACCGGGTGAGAGGTTCTTTCATAGCTAATTCAGCAGAAGAGAATGTTCGTGTGAGTGGACTAAAGCTCAGGGAATCTGTACCCAGAGGAGGGGGGCCCTATCAAATGATTAGGCTCCTCAAACTAGCGTGACAGCCAGCTATTGTGCAGTAATACGCCTCGAAAGCCCCCGTCCAGAACTCGCCAACGCCACATCTGCTTCGTCTGACACTAGCCATCTCCTTTCTCTTGTTCGCTCTCTCTTCGATTTTCACCCCCATATGGTTAAAAAAAAACACAACGTAAAAAGACACCCGGACTTCGCCCAGCGAAACCGCATCCACAGACCCTTAAATTAAAAATGCAATCAAAACCATCCATTAAATTAACTTTTCATTGAGTTTTAGTACAAATTCACGAAGAATAACAACCAACAAGTTAGGTATTCGCAAAAAGTTAGATCTGCAATGTGCCAGTCACATGAATTGTCCTTTGATAATCTACATAAACTCATCTAATATGGTTTTACAGTTGATATGTAAAATCTTTTTTCCTTTTGTTCCTCTTTCACAAACAGAAAGTAATTTGGACTTCCCAACTAATATGCAGGTGTATTTCTCCTGCAGAGAAAGAGTGCAAGCAAGAGAAAGAGTGAAGAAGAAAGAGAGATTTTGAGATTTAATTAAAAGTGAAGAGTCATGCAAAGCAAATCCTTCATTCTCATCTCCACCCTGGAGCCACACAGGAAATGCAGCGTGCATCTCTCCGAGCATCTCACGAGAGTTGGAAAGGAAAGAGAGAGACAGGAAGGGAGGGTGACTGTTCTTTTACCACTCTCTAACGCTACAGAAAATCTCTTTTCATGCCATTTTCCCCAAAAGTCTGGACTATTTCAGTAGACAGCACCTGGAATGAACATCCAGTTATTGAGGATATGGCATCCATCATTTTTTTCATAAAGAAAGCCCTCAGAGAACTGACTTGCAAATTAAAATAAGCACATAAAAACATGTTATTCTCCCAAAACTAACATCCAGAAATCAAACCATCAAATCAAGTCCTGTAAGAAAAAGAGAAGGCAAGAGAGTTTCCAAATCGATTATGATTTGGGTAAGTAAAACATCTCACTTTTCATTTTTTTCTTCTCATAATTCCCTTGAGTTTATATCATTACCGCTGCAACAATGTCAAATAAAATAAATAAATAAATAAAAAAATACAAAAAAAATTAAAATAAAAAAATAAGTAAATAAATAAAATACAAATAAAAAAAGAAAACAAGTAAATAAGCCAGAGCTTCTATCATTATCACTGCAAAAAAGTCAAATGATACAAATAAAATAAAAGTAAATAAAATAAAAAGTATTTAAAAAACATAAAAAACAGTTAAATGCTTCAAATAAAATAAAAAGTAAATAAGTAGTAAATAAAGTAAATTAATTAAAATAAGTCAGCCTTTACATAAATTTCTTGAGTTTCTACCACTGCAAAAAAAGTCAAATAATACAAATAAAATAAAAGTAAATAAAATATAAAAACAAATAATATAAAAATAATTTAAATAATATACAAAAGTAAATACAATAAAACATTTGTAAATAAAAAAAAAAAAGCCATCATGCATTGGCTGCAAAAAAAAGCCAAACGATACAAAAAAAAAAGTAAATAAATAAAATTAAAAAATAAGATAAAATTAAATAAAAAGATGTAAATAGGTAAGTCAGTCTTTCCCATAACTGCTTGGAGTTTCTATCATTGCTGCAAAAAAGTCAAACGCTACAGACTGTAATCTGTAAATGACACTGTTGCATTTGGCTCTTTCTCTCTCTCGCGCTCCCTCTCTCTCTCTCACTCCATCTCTTTTGGGGAGTTATTTGGCAGTCTTTTGTTGGCCTGTTTAGTGAGAATGGTGACTGAGCTAGGACAGGAACCTCATACTGTGGCTACTTCCCACAGCATACCTGTCCCAATACACCACCAACCGCTAAACCTATCTATCTTCTCTCCCCCACGCTCATCTACTCTGCATCTCTTTGACTTTTGACAGAGGTTTTGTCTTTCATCAGCAGAATTGTAATTAAAACGGACAATTGAAAATCTAGCTACAGGGAATGATATGATGCACCAAGAAAAGGAGAAAGAGAAAAAGACTGAGGAAGCAAGATGGGTAACGTGGACCACATCATCTGCATAACGCTAACAGTAAAGATATTATCCAACAGAATTACATTTTAAAACAAGTATGAAACAACAAATATAAGCACTAGGGGTGAAAACATTTGCTCTGACAAAATAAATTCTGAAATGTCATTTTAAAAAAGCATAATAAAACCTGAAATTACACTCTAAAAAATGCTGGGTTGTTTCAACCCAACTTTGGGTCAAATATGGACTAACCCAACTTTTGGGTTAAAAATTTTATTAAAAATTTTAACCCAATAGTTGGGTTAGTCCATATTTGACCCTAAGTTGGTTTGAAACAACCCATAATTTTTAGAGTGTACTGTCATGATTTGGTTTGAATATTCTGGTATGATTCATAATTACTTTCAAAAATATGAAAAGTGTAACTGGAGAGACGATCTGGATATGATGGAATTCTACAACTGCAAATAGGTCTAAAATTATATTTTGTATATAATTGAACACATAATACACTGGGTTTTATTGTATTAACTAAAATAAATTATTTTTGTTATTAATTAAAATCAAAACAAATTTCTTTAAACAATTCATTGAACTTCTTTTGTCAGATTGATGCAAATCAAAGCATTTTCACACCTCAAGTACACTGAAAAAGCAAAATGGTGGTAAAACAATTTTCACTCAGAAAATCCAAGCAAATTTCACAAATAATTACAAAGAAACAGCAAGCAACACATTGAATTAAATTTGAAATTTTGAAGTAGAAAGACTGAAATAGTATTTCTTATATACTTGTAAAGCCTACTCCAATCATTTTTGTTTTATTTACAACTTCGAAAAACAATTTAAGTACTGTGCTTTTACTTTAATGTGAAAGAGAAACTTTAGTGTCTTTAAGTATAAGAACATTGTAAAATCACCTGCTCAACTTCACAATACTTATAGCCAAAATTCATTATGAATTTTGTAATTGTTTAAATATGCCATTAGCAGGAGGACGTGTTGCATTTTTGAAGCCTCTAACCACAGGAAGAGTCACCAGTAGGCCTTTTGTTATTTCGTGAGCATTAATTCATGATACCAGCGCATGGTGCCTCTCGCTCACACATCAGATTTATATTCCTCTCACACGCAGGACAAACCCCACAAACCTGCAGCCTGCCAGCTACACACACAGTATTTATCAGTGCGCTCGAGAAAGGAGAGAGAGAGCGAGATGGGTGCTCTGCTGAAAGAAGTCCGTAGCATTTGGATGGACGTTAAAGAGGTTGTGGTGAATTCCAGGCATAATCACAGAGAAACAAGAGAAGGCTGAAAAACAGAAGCCAAAATGACGCAAAGCAAATGCAGCTTTGTGCAAAACTCAAGAGAGTTTGTTGATTTTAAAATGATGGATTTGAAAACCCAAAGGAAAGCTATTGCTCAAAGGTTGCTGATTTCATATAGCTTAAGAGACTTGATTGAGTTCTCAGTAACGTTTCTTTTAAAGGGATACTCCACCCAAATATGAACATTCTGACATCATTTACTCACCCTCGTGTCATTTCAAACTTTCTT